AAATCATGTCATCTTGAAATATTTCATCTTAAGTGGAGTTGTCCATTTGAGGGCTACAAGCAGCAGACCAGCTTATAGGAGCAGATGTCCCCCAACACTCCCACCAGGAATTTTGTGACCTTGAAATAGCTAGCTTGAGGCATTTGAGATTGCACAAAGTTTTAAATGCTGGCTAAAATTCTGAATTTGGTACATAGCTCTTCAGTAACTTGCTATGACCAGTTTAGCTTTTTAGTAGTACAATTTAGAAAAGGAAATGTTTCAGATTTAGTCATGCAAGTGTTTAGAAATGTCAATATATTTTCTCTTAAGATGCTGTCAAAGAATAAGTTATTGTTATTTAATCAATATTTGTCATTGTGAATAACTGTATGTAAAGGTCAATTCATACAATATTATGCTTCTGGGAAACAATGTTTCAGTAGATATGAACTACGTTACTGAAAGTAAATACAAAAAATACCTAACACTCAAAAGAACCCAAAAGAAATGAGGAATCCCACCTGATGTAGTTTAGAAATTAGTTTGCTTTGAAGTATATTATTTCTGACTCCCTAGCCATATCCTGTATTTTCATTTTAAGTTCTCCATGTTTTTTTTAAATCTGCCTCTGTACTATTTGTAAGTCTAAAAATTTCATTGCTGTAAACAGGAGTCTTGGATATGTGATGAATAAAGTGTTGCAGCTGCCTGAGTAAGAATTTTTTGTGGAGCTAAAGATAGACTTGTCTCTTGTATCTATTCTTTGGCAGAGAGAAAGGGTGATTGAAGAGAAGTAGAGTATATGAAAGCACAGCTAAAACACAGACACACTGACATTATAATACAGTGTCTCATCGGGTGATGTGGTGTTTTGACTACATGGCTGCATCAGGTCTATAATTTAAATGCCATTAATGGCACAGAAAACAATAGTGTGGAGACAGGAATACTGTAAAATCTCTGGGTCTGTACTTATAATGCAGATGAAATAACCCTTTGAACTTGTGGTGCCAAATGTTGTCCAAAGTTACCATTCTTCCATGAGGAAAGCAGTTTGTTTTTGTGGTGTTTTATGTCTTCTTCTCCTAGCACAGACATTTGCTGTTTAGATTGCTTGGCTTGTGTCACTACAAAAATCCCAGGCAAAGCAGAGCTGATTCTATTTTGCCTCACTCATGTCCTGTTCACACATTCAGTACAGAATTCGCTATTGTCAATAGTCATGACTGTGTTTTCTTTGTGCTCATTGTCTTTTGAATATGCTTCTTTATACTTTTCCTAAAGTCACACACAGAACTAGTTTCACCAGAAGCTCTTGGTGTTCAGCTGTAACCGAGTTACACATAGTCCTGTGACTGCACCCTAGCTATAATATCTCATTTGTTTCCACTTGGCTGTTGTCATGTTTTCTACTGCTTAAACTTCTTATCCTTTCCCTTGCTCTCTTTTTTCCTTTTTCTTTCTTGCCTCCATTTAAAATTCTATCTGACTTAGTTTTTCTTACTGAACTTAATTGTGTGTAAGTACTTGTTTCTGTACCCTCAGAGATGTCAAACATTTAATGCACCTTGGTGTAATGTTTGCTCTAATTATTTGCCAAATTTGAGTGAGTCTTTCCAGAAACAGTTTCTGATCTTTGAAAACCTTGTAAAATGTATACAATATGTTAATTGTGAACCTTTTTTCAGAGCATATTTCAAAGGAGGAGAAGAAATGCTGTTTAAGTAAGACTTGTTTAAAGTGCTCCACCACTTCTAGCAGGAGACTGTTACAATAGTTGCATTATTTCTTTATCCTGATCGAATGCCTTTGCAAATCTCACTTAGGCTTTTTTTTCCCCCTTTAAACTGGTTCACTGTGTGTAGGTCTGGTACTATACCATGCAAATACTTAGCTGTTTCCAGTTTTGGCTAAGTGGATGAACTCTTGTCAAAATATTCATGCAGTATTAACAAAACTTAAAGCCAACTTATACTCCCTAAACTATAGCAAAATATTAAAAGTTGCTAAAGGCGTAGGTATGGAGTTTCAGCAAAGTTGTTTCTCTTTAAAGTACAAGTCTCAAATTTGAAATCTGGCAAATGTGAGTAGTTAGGTATGCCTTTCTTTTCGCACTTAAAAACAAATAATACTTAATATTCAAAGAGTATAGAGTAGACATAGATCTACTTAATACTGAAGGTAAATGGAATTGAAAAAAAATAATTTATTCTTATTAATTTTGTATTAAGTTAGAAACTTTCTGTCTTAGCAGAAGTAATTTATTGGGCTTTTTCTTTATCAAGTGTGTTTCAAGTGTATAGAAACACAGTCTTTCAAGTCTGTGATCATCAAAATGGCTTTCTACTAAACCTGTGCATTCATAGAACAACTCAAGTTCTTCCAAAATATTGATGCCAATATGTGCAAAGAAGGAATCTTAGGAATGATTTGGTCTTGGAAGGAATCTTGATCAGAACACTCAAAGTACAAAATGGTATGATTGGCCAACTTTGTTTATTTCTTTCTCAATGTAGTGGGTTGAGCTCTAGCCCGGCCTGCTTGATTTTTCCCTTAAACAAAAACCAAGCCACTTCAAACCACTGCACTCAATAATATTAATAAAGAAAGATTTTATGTAGGCCACTATTCCTGGCTACTGTTAATCAGTACTTTTCAGTTTTGTCTGAAGTGAAATTAATAATTTGTCTTGCACTTGTTGCCACAAACTCTGAGGAATAACATGAAACCAAAGCAGAACTTGAGAGAAGTAATAGCATTTACCCAAACTTGTTTCTAGTTAGATAGAATATGAGTTAATGAAATAACTCTCCTTAGTGGCAGGTTTGGTAAAATCAGTCTTAGTTATCACACTGTTTTCCTACTTACGAAATAATTTCTGAAATGAAAGGGAAGTGTTCACGCTCAATGGGATTTAAATATAGAGTGAATCTGCACAATTTTTCTGTTTCAGAAGAACGCACACTATGCACTTCGGCAAATTTTTCTTTATACCTTGTACATAAGTAATTTCTTCAATAGCAGGATAGTTGTTAACTTTCTGTGATCAGCCCCAAGTATATTTTATAACCTGACCACAGTTCATTTCCTGAAATAGCAGTGCAGTCCCAGCTGCCCTCATAAGAGCAGAATTCCAGATGTTCCTGTTTTGCTCTATGGAGCGGTGCTGTAATTGTTGGACAGCAAGGATACAGTTTGGCTCTCTGATAATGCTGTATCTGTAGAAATAATTTCACTGTGGCTGTAGGAATGTGTGTAAACATTAGGAAGGAAACTATATTATGGATTTAAATCTTTAAATGCATTCATATGGTCCAGGTGATTGCAAGAACCTCTTGGATTTGAGAATATATTTGACATTTTAAGTATCATGCAAGGAAGGAATTAGCCATTATCTAAAGCAGCATACGTGGTAACACAGCCAGTGATTTGAACCTGTCATTCATTTAATAATTGACACTGGAAAAGGCAAGTGAGATCATTGTATCCAACAGCAAACCTAACACTGCCAGGTCTACTATTTAAATCTTGTCCCAGAGCACCATATGTGCATGTCTTTTAAGTATCTCCAGGGATGGTGACTTCATCATTTCTCTGGGAACCCTTTTCTAGTGCTTGACAGGCTTTTTGGTGGAGATTTTTTTCCTACTATCCAATCTAAATGGCCCCTGGTGCAACTTGAGGCCATTTTCTCTTATCCTAGCACTCATTACTTCGGAAAAAAGGGCACTTGACACTCAGACATCCTCTACTGCAGCCTCCTCTGAGGTAGTTATAGGGAGTGATAAGTTCTCCCCTGAGCCTCTAGACTTCATAACCCTAGTTCCCTCAGTTGCTTCTGGATGGATGTGGGCTCTAGACCCTCCACTTAAAATCATGCTACTTCTTGCTCTAGTCATGACTGCAGTTTGTATCTATGTAAGAGTTTCTGGATGTTCAGCTTTGGTTTTTCTCCTGGTGTTTCATGGAGCTGTTTTTATAGGACACTAAAACCTTAATAAAGCTTAGAGTCAGTAAAAACAAAGCATGTGAGAACAACTTTAGTTGTGGTTGTTCCCATATTTTTGATATTATTTCAGAATATGTCCTACTGTGGTCAAATGTACATCTATTCAAATTTCTTCAATGTATTTGTGACTGGGTTGGGGCCTGATCCTGGGTTCCTTTCACAATTAATAGCTCCATTAAATACTGTGGCTATTCTGGTTGTGGATTATCCCATTTTAAATCATCTCTACAGATTATTTAAATGCCTTAGTGTTCAGTTGGTTAGGGCAGAAATCTTCCCATGTACCAACTACAGTTGCCAGTTGTGACAGAAAAGATCAAATGTGAATTTTTCTCTGTTCTGAAAACCTCTGTGGCCATTTCTATTTTTCAAATTGGCTTAGGCTGAAAACAACTTTTTTTAACAAAATTTAGCAAGACAGATTCTTGATTTCATGTGATGACACTGGTGTTTTATTGTAATAGAAATTTGCAATCAAGATTATAGAAACTGCTAACAATATGCAGTCCTGCCTTCAGGATAAGAAAAATGGTGATGATTCCTGGAATCCTACTTTGTGGGAGAAAGATTGGAGGGGCTAACATGAGCTTAGCAGTGTGAAGAAAAGGATCTTCTCTCCCTTCTGGGCATGTAGAGTTGAACATTCAGTCTGCTTTGTGGTCTAGGTTTATTACTAAACTCTTGAGCAAGCCTGGAGGTATTTCCTAAATGAGACTGCAGCTACACAGCTTTTAAACTCAATTAGCCCCTCTCCCTGTGTTCTGCATGCCCTGTCAGTTCTAGTGGGCTTTCCTTGGCTCTGTGAGAAAGGGACAGTGTGGGGATCTGCAGAACCAGCCCCCTTCTTCCCTCAGACTGGGTGGAATTCCCACATCTTATTGTGGCCCTTGGACAGCAGTAATTTAAACGTTCTCCAGAATATTAAAATGTTAATATTGCCTAAGGGGAGAAGGTTGGGGAAAAAATGGGTAGTCATTCAACAGCAAAGAATTAAGTTAGCTCCTACTACCTGATGTGAAACTCCTTCAGAGTGGAAGGAATACCAAACTGTGCTGTACTTTGTGTCATATCAACAGAATGGGTTGGCCCAGTGTCTTTCTTCACCAGTGATCTTCTAAATCTTGTGGTCTGCAAAATGCAAACATGAGAGAAAGCAATCCTATCACAACTAATAGCAAAAGAAATGTCTTAAGAAAATTACTATTCTCAGGAATACAGATTAGAGTGTATTAAATAGAGAGGTAGAAATTATATCTTACCATTAAAAAAAGGTAACAAAAATAAAGACAAAACACCTAATGACTACCTCATGGAGAAACCTATTTGTTAGTCTTCAAGCACAAGAAAATACTTGACCTGTTTTGAACAGAAGTGTTTTTACAACACTTTTGTTGGATTGCAGTCTTTTTTTTTTCTTCTCTGTTTGATCTAAAAGTCCAACTGTGTTAATTTAGAAAATTAATGCAATGCAATTTAAGCTTGTAATATGTTTAAAGGTATTACTAGAACTTTATAGAAGAATATTTTTTCCTCATTTTGTTAGTTTTTCCCCTGTAATTGCAGTTCTGTGCAAACCTGTAACTACATCTGGTTGAAAACTTAGTATTTTTTTTTCCTCTGTGGGAGAAAAGCAGGAGATTTTGAAGAAATATGTATTTTAATGGAAGTTCTGGGAAGGCCTTTTGTGTGAGGAAAAGAAAAAAAGCCCCCTTGCTGCCCTAGAAGGGTTGATGGCCTGGTGTTTTGGTGTGCCTCTGTAATGTCAGAGCTCTGTCATTGGAGAAGGGCCTGGAAACCTGTGTTTCTGATATTTTCTCTGAAAGTCTTGATGATCAGATTATTTATCTGGAAAGTGATTGTGCTCCTACATGTTGTCCTCATCTTTCTTTTATGATAAGCTCCTTTTTCCAGAAGATAATTAAAATAACTTAGACATTCTTCCCTTTAGTCTAATAATAAAATTTCAGAAATCTTTTTATCTCTCTGAGAAAGGAATATTAGTTTCTGATCAGTCTTAACAGTAATGCATAGATCCATTGCTCATGTCTAGTAATGAAAAAAGTATAATAATGATATAGTTTACTCTTAGTAATGAAATTGAAGCAACTGTATGTGTATGTAAGGAGGATGCTTGCCTGAAGAGCTCTGGAGCCATGGAAAATTCTTGTGTTTATTCTACTGAGTAATGCAAAGAAACACCTTGCTGTCTGTGCACTTGTAGGTATACTTATTTTACTTTATTTATGCATGGTGATCTAATGTTGAAAACATGAGGGCTTCTTTAAAAAATTCAAAACCAAACAGAAGTAAACAAGTTTGAGGGGAAAAAAAAATCCTCTTCATAAAGCCACAGTGACTCTCTATGAAAGAATATAAAATAATCGGTCTGATGTGTCTAGATCTTTTTTCCATTCATGCAAAAACATGAAAAATATTAGCTGGTCTGACTGTTACATCACCTCTTTTGAAGTACAAATGCCAATTGAAATCAGTCAAATGTCTGTCTAGAAGCAGGTGTGCTAAGATACTACAGATCATTTTTATGTACTTGAATACAGATATATCTGATTTTCTATCAGTGGGGGAAGAAAGGTGGTCCTTGGATCGTGCTCCCATGATCCTCATTTTAATGACTTCATGTTTTAATGTTTGCCACTTACATGTGATTTTTAATGTGCTTTGGAATTGCTATTTTGCAAAAAGAAACAGACACTGCAGTCTGTTGGCAGCTGAGTTTCCACCTTGCCTAAAAATTGGTGGTTTTCTCCTTTTTTATTTAGAAAAGATATTTTTAAATTAGATTCTGCTTTCCAGATAAGCTGCCCTTCACTCTTAATTCAAGGGAACAAGAGGTAGCCATTGGTGTATATTTGATCTCTGAAATATTTTCAGTCTGCTGTGTCATTCAGATGTTTGATGGATGGACTTGAAAGTATGCTTTTGTTGCTGTTTAGAAAAATCCAGTGCTCCATAGGTGCAATACATGATAAAAGGAAGTAATGCTCATGACCTATTGTGTGTGGATTACTGCAAACTGCTTTTTCTCTTGCTGCTTTTAGCTTGCTGACCTGTAGAAAAGGTTGTCTCCATGTTTTCTTCCTGTTACTGATGTGAAATTCTTCATTTCAAGTACTTTTTCATTTTGCTTTGACCTGTTTTTATAGTTTTTAGTGCTGCCTGTTTAACACGTGTGCAGCAAACTGCTGCACTGCCGAGTTCCTGCAGATGTTGTGAGCCAGTATGACTTTTTTAACTGCCTCCAGGATGTTCAGTCATGGAAGCCTTGATTTAGGAAGAAGAAACCCAGTTCAATCATAGATGTCTTCAAATGTTCTGACCTACACCTGGAAAAAAGAATATGGCATTTTCTTGCACTGTCTGTGTGCTGAGGTGTCTGGGATGGTTTACTTCTGTGGCTTTAAACGCATTAGGTAAAGTTTGCAGCCATCCAGTAATTGCATGTTCCAAGTTCGTTTCTGTACCCACCACAATCATCTTAATGTTACGTCTTTAAAATTCTTTGTTAATATTATCAGATAAAAGGTTTTTGTACTCTGGATTTCTGCTCTGAAAAAGTCTATGAAATAAACACTGTATTACCAGCTAACTGACCTCTGAGTTTAGGTTTACTGGGGGTTTTAGCAGGCTGTTAACAACTACAGGTATGGCATTTTTTACCTTCTGATTTGGGGGGAATTTTGCTTATCAGATCACCTCTGTTTTCCTGATTCCCTTTTGTATAAACTCACTCTCTTTTAGGAGAGCCATCTCTGACTACATTTTGTTTATTACAAGTTCAAAATTGCTGGAAATCTGAAAATATTTCTAGCAAGAGCATTCCACTGTTGAAATAGTGGCCAGGACAGTACTGTTTTTCATCTTTATTTGGATAGAATAATTTCATGTATTTAACAAGTAATAGTTTTCCTTATTTTCAAGACAAATTTTGGAAAGACAAACCTTAAACCAAGCCATATCAGTGCATTTATCTGGGAGTGAAGTCAGATGTCAGGACTTTGTCATAGCCTGTCTGCTTGTGCCTGGATGTGGGGGTTAAACTGTAGGGGGTAACCTTTCACATGAGTGTGTTAGGCAGTATTTGCAGGACATAGCATCTTTCTTTGTATGTTTCAGCTGGCTTTTCCCTGCTCTGGAAAATAGTGTTTTCTGTGATGCATCCCTAGACCTTTCTCATTCCTCCCATCTCTACCATCAAACATCATATCATAGATATAAATGCAAGATTTTTCTTTCTTTTTATGGCAGTTTCTAAATAATGCTGCTAAGTTTGTCAAGTCATATATGTAACCAGCATTGTAACAGCAGTTTTTTAGAAAGTGGGATAGAAAGGGAAATAATTAAATCAGTGCTACTGGTCAAGAGTTGCATTGAGGTGTTTTCCAGGGGAAAGAATTTTATCAGTAAAACCAAGACCCATTGGTCCTATTCTCTGTGCTGATTCACAGCATTGTTTTTGTCCCTTCCTTAAGTCCCACCAAAAATCTTGGCTGCAGACCCCTCCAGATTGGGATGAGGGGAGGATTAGAAATATAAAGATTTAGTATTCACTCTTTAAAACTGATATTCTAGCTCTTTTTCTTGCTAAGGTAGAATGAAAACCATAAACTATTGGTAAATGTCAACTAACCGCTAGACTTGAAAGAACCAGCAGCTGCTTTCTGCTTATGAAGCAGAGAAACTGTGTGGGAGGAGATGTAAAGAACCTCCTCAAATACCCACTATAACAGAGGGGCGGGGGAGAGACTGTACTGAATATGGGGTTTAACCTTTAGAATTCTTTTTCTGTTCTCTCATGCTCTTAGACTTGTATGAAAATGCAAAATGGCAATTGATTTGTTTCAGGTAAAAGCATCAGACAAAGGCCCCATACCACCTAAAACTAATTTCTGATCAAAAATAGAGTACTCAGCTTGCCTGTATCAATTTTGTGTCTGTTAAAAATTTATGGTATGAATCTCATAAACAGTTTTCAAATTTATTTAATGAATAATTGTTTGCAAAGGGCTTGAGTGTACCTCAAATCAGATGCAACGTTTCAATGCAGCAATATTATTAACAGCATCGTTAGCGTAGTATTGAAATGGCAACACTTAAAAATTCATCTACCACAGATCTGAAATGATGAGTTTGTCTTGAATACAAATAAACATAGAGGAAATAGATTGGGAGGTATTCATTCATGATGTATAAAATGAGATCAAAAATAGACCACAGGTTTATGTTAAAATAAGTTGAGACAAATTCTAGCTTGGCAACACTGACCTAAAAGCTGTCTAAACAAAGCAAGTAATGTTTATTCTGCTTCTAAAAGGAAGTCTGTATCTGCTGTTGAGAAAAGACAAAGGGTTGTTCTGGGATGGTTTCTGGGGTCTTTAAGTAACTTATTGAAAGATCCTTCATCACTTTCTGATATGGAAAAAATACGTATAGCCACATTAGCTCATGGCAAAAACTATTTTTAGCCCCTTTAAGACTATTTGTGAAAACAGACTAGAAAATGTAGAAAGAAAAAGGGTTGGATTGTTAGTTTGTTTTTTTTTCCCCCCCCGAAAATAGTCAATTACAAGATACTCAATAAATGTATCTGGAAAGCGTGGTGGCAATCTGACTTTTATAAATGGAGACCTTTCTCTAGCTAGATGCTGACTGTACTGGGCAGATGAAACAGCTCTCAAGGAATGACAAATATTGCTCATGAGAAGCAATGAGAAGACTGTTTTTACATGAACAACTCTCATATTAAAAAAATAATAGAACTTAATAGAATAGACTGTTATTTCACCTGCTCTTCTTTTAAACATGTCCTTTTTTGTTTGCTGACTACTCCCACTATGGAGCACTTGTCCACAGTCCTGGGAATTACTATTAACTCCCTAAGATGGGGGTGGGAAACTAGAACTGGTGAACAAGGGCTGGAAGGGTAGCAGCTGGAGGATATTTGTGACAGATCATAATAACAGGAAGAGAGTAAAAAAGAAATGGTCAGCACTTTTGGCTTTTTAAAAGTGGGGTGCAGATGACTTGCTATGTTTTTACAATGTCTTGTTTCCAGACTGCTGGCTCAGTCAGCCACATCTTTAATTTGCTCAGTTTATAACAGCTGCTTTGGCTGTTACCGCAGAAAGAGAAATTATAATTTCCAAGCCTTCATTTCATCCCTCTTACCTATAATCCTCAAGTTCCAATCTGTCTGACCACTTGACTAGGCTTTTTAATTAACACATCTTCTTGGGGGCCCTTAAATGTGTTTTGCATATACAGGAGCACTAAACAGCCTTGGAAACTCTTGATGAGATGAAAAACATCCTGCTGGGAATATAAAATGGCACGTAATGCCTAGAATAATGATTTCCATAATTGAAATTTTCATGTGCTGTATTAAAAGGCATCATTTACCTGGGGTCCTGTTAATTTGAAAAGAAAAATTGTTTCGTTTCATGAACTTCTCTGTTTAACTCTATCTCTACAAGGTTTTGTTGATTCCTCAGAAGAAGGTTTATGAGCTTGCAAAAAGGCACAAAGCTGAGGATGAAAAACTAGCATTTGAATATTTTTGTGCAGTCAGTGGTTCAGATGTACTTACTTGATTTGCTCAAATGAGGCAGGTGGTGATGTTCTGTAATGATCTTTACTTTGTACCTGAGACCACTGGTCATTTGGCTGAGGTGGCACATTGTTAATGATGTGTTAATAAGCAAGAGAATTTAGGAAGGCAGACTCTTCGATGGAATGTAATAGCCCTCCCTGCTGCCAGTATCTTAATGTAATCGAAGAAAACATCTTGTTTTAATAATTTACTAATTGAATGACACAGCAGCTAATCTCTGGGATGTACCTTGAGACCTGATTACTTGTTTCATCGACTTCTGGGGAACCGACACGGATGATGTTGGTCAAATTGCCCTCAGCTCTCTTCATTGCTGGTCTGTAGCTCTGTGGTGATTTGTCTAGAAGGTAAAGAAATAAATAATTTTGTTTGATACTTCAGGATATGTCCAATAGATCAACCAATAATTGATCTTGACATTCCCCAAGGAAAAATCGCTAGTGTCACTGTGAAGGTCTTAGTGGTTTTGTACAATCTATACTAACTTTTTCTTCAGATTTTCAGATAAAGTAAGTTTTGCTTCAAGCCAGCTCTAAGTGAAATTAGATTACTCAGAATATTAAGATGTGACACAATGCTGTCAGTAGGCCTTATATTTTCAGTAGTTTAAACATCATAAATTGTTACATCAGTGGTATTTTTTCCATGCTGTTCTGACTTGCTGTTCATGTAGGATCATTCAGACATATGAAACAATAAAAAATTGCCAGAAAATGAGCTCCAGTATTATTTTGGAGTACTACAGCTAAGTGCTGGCAAGATAGGTTTCTGAAAAATCAAATACTAGACCCATGTGTGTTGTTTTTCTTCCATAGTGTAATCTGGATTAATTTTCTCTTACAGAAAATTAATCCTACTTAACTACTGAAATTCAGGTCTAGGTAATAGTCTGATCTTCACTGCTGACATGCATCAATCCTAATGAAACTTGCACCACTCCTGTGTTTTTTTAGTAGCTCTGAATTTTATTCCAATCTCAGCCTGTGATAGTCAAAAGCAGATGAGGAACTACATAAATGCTTCCCCCTGTCACTGACATGCAGTGTGTTAGTTGGTGGGATTCTCAAAACCTTCTAAATTCTTGGCATTCAGGAAAGAAAATGCCAGGGCTCCAGTAATGAATATTTGAGTTGCTTCTCAAAGGCACTTTATTAAATTGAACTCCTTTAAACAAGTTTAGTACCCAGTAAGTACAGTATATTTGATGTAAAAATATTTTTTTCAAATCTATACTTTTTAGTGGTCTAATGGTTACTTTTTGAAGAACTTGCCTTTCAAAATACTGTAATTACATAGCATGTTCTCAAAAAACCTGGTGTCTAGTATTAACCATCTTGTGGTTTCATGGAAGACATTTTGAGAATTTTGGATCCATCTTGTTCAGCTACGCCTTCTCTATTATGATTAAAGGAGGAACATGCATGTTTGAATTTTTTGAATAGCTTTAAAAAATCTCACATTTTTTATTTGTCTATTTTATAGGACATGAAAAAAGCCTCATCAACCCTCAGGGCATTAAAGCACAGTGCTTTAATTACACAATGTCCATTAATACTAATAAATTTCATGCTAAAGACCTATGCTGTACCAGTGCCAAGTAAAACATAAGTCTCCTTCCTTTTCAAGCCCTGTGCCACACACTGCCTGGACGTGCGGCCATTAAAATGAGTTCAGTTGCAATGACAGACATTAGGCACAGATGCAAAATTTCATGTTGACTTTCAACAGCTTCTATAGGTTGAAATAATGCTAACATTTGTTTTTCAAGTAATCTTTAAAAGTATTTAGATAGGAATAGTGTTAGGTGAGTGACGGAACATGTGTGAAATCAAGTGATAATATTTTTCACTGCTGCACTCTTTTGATAATCTGATATAACCTGAGTTTTCTCTGTGAAGATTACTTTGTATTGATACTCTGAAGAATGAGTTTACCAGCTGTATATGATAAAGCATGTTTGTAACTGTTCATACATCTTATTTCATTCTCTGCTGTTTCTCTTACCTAAGTCATTAACTGCAGACTTTTTTTTTCTTCCATATAGCTCTTCTGTTTACATTTCTAGAATTTTACCTCAGAACTAAATTTCCTTTTATCTTTGAATATTGCTGGAAATCAGGCAGTCTTATTATTCTTGATTTATGTGTACAAGTACAGCAGTTCTACTTTCAGGGTGGGTGGGGTAGAGGAAGAGTTTGGGATTCATTTTATGAGAATTTGAAGTGAGGTCATTGTGACAGTAGGTGTATCAGACTGGGAGCTACAGACTTTTTTTCATCTCTGCAATAAGATAACATCTAGGATCTCTCTGTACTAACAAAATGAAATGATGGTTTGGTCTGGTGAGAATGGAGACCAAATGGACACAGGTATGCATTTAGGAGGGGCTGAGTGATGGATGGTAAAATGCATAAAAAAACCCAAAATAATTTAGATACTGACTGGCTGTGAAATATTACAATATGTCTAGACTTAGCGAGTGAGAGGATAGTGGGATCAGCCAAAGGAATGTAAAGAAATTTCATGAACAAACATGGATTTGCAGCTAAATGGTCAGTGTTCAAGTTTTCTGATGTTCCTGGTACTTCACCTCAGGTATAATGTGGAGAATAGGGTTGGGTTTTGGTTTGGTGTTTTTTTTTGTTTTTTTTTTTTTTAATAAATAGTTCTGGACTATCCCAAATCCTTGTGTAACAGTGCTGATATCCTGAAGGGGATTTATTAGTTAGTCAAAGGATTACCAGCCCTTTCTTTCTTAAGTCTTTTGGCAGAGCAGCGTTCAGGAGCAGACAGAAGAGAGGCAGCACCTGGGTTCAGAGTCAGAAATGTGCCACATCCTCATGGGCTGAAGGAAGGGGAACATGAGGGTAAACCCAGCAGAGAGCTGAGCTCTCTGCCTATGGTTCTTCCTGCAAGGCAGAGGGCCCTTGAGGGTCTTTTTGGAGTGCTCTCATCAGTTTTTTTATCCTCAATCACAAACTTGTCGATTCAGGGCATTAATCACATTTTTATAATGTTTATTATATTATACTTTCTATGTTCTGTTTATACTGCACTAGTGTTCTGCTGCAAGACTGAAAGACTTTGGCTGAATTTGAGTGCCTCTGTAGAAGCAGCCTCCCATAAGACAAAGTATATTACAAGTGGAAAGCTTGTAAGACTGTTACATGTTGATGAGCACTAATTATCAGAACTGGGAGCATTTTGAAAACCTTTCTGATGACTAAAACTTCATTTTACACCTTTACTTCCTAAACTAGCCATCTTGTAGGAGGTTATGTTATTTTTAACAGTAGCTTCTTTTCCCACTGAGTCCTAAAGAATCATACTTAAAGCAATAGTTTCTAATCTGCTGATTCTAATAATTCTAATGTGTCGTGAATATCCTTTTTATTTTTAAATTAGTGACAATCTTGAGCTGTCCAAATATTCCCCACCACAAAATGGACTTTCCCCCAACTTTGACTAGTTTCAAGAAGAAATCCTATTGTTGATTTTTCTTCTGCTCTGCCTGCATTCACCTCACTGCTGCATCTCCCTGCTCAGAGGCAGACCTGTTCCAGCTCAGTGCGGAGTGCCAGTCATGAAAGTAGTAAACTTGTTATGAAAAGCTGGAAAACTTGGATGTGCCTAGGTACCAGGCTTTTAAACTCATTGTAACTTTATTAATGACACCGTGGGGGGAAGCATCTTTTAGTAGTAAACACAGTCAAACAGTTTTGAGCTAAAAAGCCGGATTTACTTTGTTTTGGTTGTGTACTACAGTGTTATGGGAGATGATTTAGAGCAACAGCCATGAACTCTTAGTTTGGATCATGTCAAATGGAAGGTTCTCCATGACTGAAAATGTTTTTCTGGCTTTATAGGAGCTTTCCCTCTCCTACCCCCTGTAGCACTTTGCAGTTTAAAAAAAGCCGTGTGTCAAATAGCATTTGAGCCTACTCACTAAGCACATATAATTTCACCTTTTCTTGAAACATTCATTCCTGCTCTGCTTTTGAGATTACATATGTGCCTGTGTGCTATTCTTCTCCCTGAAGAATAGTTTTTTCAAGTTTTTACATGAAATCTATTTTCCCTGAAAAAATGGAATCTTTGTGTCTTTGTCCCCTCACTAGCTTCCAGGCATGTTTTGGCAGGGGTTCTGACTGTCAAGGCACTGGAGAGGAGGGGCCTTACACTCATTTGTCAGCTTTTCTTGCATCTGTAATTTTTGCCCACTCAGCAGTACTGGAGGGGCTTAAAAAAGGGGGAGAAGTTGAAGTTATTGAAAGTCCAACTCCTGAAATAATTGCCGGACTGTAACAGTTTGGGAAAGAGGTGTGTGTGAGAGAACAACAAATGCTTTGGCTAAAGCCAGCTTTAGCTTTAAGGTTTTAGCAACTCTCCATTTCATGTAATTGCATGCCTTTTCCCCATAGATCTTTACAGGCAATGGTACTGTGTTTTTATAGATTTGCTCATTATTAGTTGATAAACTGGCTTTTCTTAATGATGATGAAAATAATTTCACTGGTGTTCAAGACTTGGTTGTTTCCAGCTAACAGTTTAATTTAAAATGCTTAAGTCTTCTCTGACTTTTGTCGTAATCCTTTCCTGCAATCTCCCTTCGGAAGCTGGGTGCTTTCATCTCCTCACGTAATGTAACTGAACAGAAATTAGTTAATTTTTTTATTATTAGAAGACAGATCCCTTCATACTAAGGAAAGCATTTTTCCTCTTCAGATTTTTATGGAATATTAAAGTTGATCTCTCCTCCTTGTTGCAGTAGGCTATTTAAGCTCAGGGCTCATACTGTGAGCTGTTAATTAATCAGTGTGACAGATGAAGAAAGTATCCAACTATGAAAGGAAACCTTACTTCAGTGACAAACAATAAGAATGTGAGCCCGAGTGATTTAAGGGATTTTTTTTTTTTTTTTTGTGAACGTGTGATAAGGAGCCTTAAGCTGTTTGAGGTAACGATGGGGGTTTTTTTTGCTCAGATTGTGTCACTGCACAAACATTAAAGGGCTCATCAATATTTTGTCTTAAAGTCTAGACAGGAGTTAAAAGAGCCTCTCCTACAGTTTGAAGAGATCCTGTTTCCCATAATTAATAACAGGAAGCAAGTAAATAAGGCTTTACTGACAGATGAAACAGCAACAGTAACATGTACCCAGAAACATTAGCTCCTGACTGAGAAATGTAGCTGAGGTCTGCTGGTTTTAGTGTACAGGAAAAGATTGCTGTGGAGGCACAGCAGAGCTTTGCTCATGTCTAATTCAACTGAATGTGATAGCAGACTAAAACTCAAAAAGTAATGATAATGCATTGTAATTATTGAGAGTGATTTGTGACC